GTAGATTGACCAGTAAATCGAGAGCTTCGCCTTACAGCTCAGCTCCTTCTTCACCACGACGGACCAGTACATCAACCGCATTGCTGCAGAAGCTGCACCGATCTGCCTGTCAATCTCCCATTCCATCCTTCCCTCACTTGTGAACAAGACCTCAAGATACTTGAACTCCTCCACTTGAGGCAGGAACTCCCCACCAACCTGAAGGAGACAAGCCACCCTTTTCCGACTGAGAACCATGGCCTAGGATTTGGAGGTGCTGATTTTCATCCCAGCTGCTTCACACTCGGCTGCAAACCGCCCCAGTGCACGCTGGAGGTCCTGGTTTGATGGGGTCAACAGGACAACGTCGTCTGCAAAAAGCAGAGACGAGATCCTGTGGTCCCCAAACCGGACCACAGCAAGTACACTCCCAGAAAATGTCAGCGTCACTTTTTTGATAAGAAAAATGGAGTTGATAAATGACCTGAATTAATCAGCACAGCAAACATCAGATGTGAAACTTCTGGCGTCTGGAGAGTGGTTTAGTGGGTCTCTGCTCTCCTTTGTCCTCTTCGTTTTGTTTCTTTCATCTCAGTCTGTCTCCCTTCAATGTGGTATTTCAGAAGGCCTCTCACATCAGCCGCCAGACATTTTATGAGTTCAACCACTATAAAGCCATCATGGTCAACTGCCTGTGGAACTCCAAAATGTCTGAACCAGACATGGGTTTACAGCTGAAAGAGGAGCTGCTTTGCAAGAGCAACATACCTGAGTACTGGAAGAGCTTTGATCTCATCAACCACCCTGCTTTCATGAGCTGTGCCATCGACTTTCACAGGAAGGCAAGTGTGGACCACATATGATGTCTTGATTTGTATCTTACTGTGATATGTGGATAGGCTCCCACCTGCAGCAGCCCATAAAATATTTCTTCTATGTACCTTTGAACACACCTGGCTCCAAATCTCATTATTTTCAAACTTTAGGAGGTACTTGATTTATCTGCATGCAGCCATTTGGTTAACAGATGTTCAGACAAGACAAAGAGACAAATGTGGCATTAATGTGTCCTTCATAGAAGATGCATTAATACTGAAGGGCATTTTATTATTAATGGGTGCTGCGTGACACATGGTTTTCTTCATGTTTAATAATACACGTACCTTTTTGTGTGTGTGTATGTGTCTGGGTGGGGGGCGACTGCAACATCCAGATCTTGTGAGATTTAGCAGGGTGGGCTGACTATCAGTATTCTCTCTTTACCAGTGTTGGCCAAGAAAAAGGAATGTGGACCTGAATTCCATAAAGGTATGAGTGGTCTCCTTTTCATTACTGCATTTATAATAGACTTCATTAATTCATTTATTTCAAATCTTTTTTTTAAAGAGATTAGGAGGCACTGTGTTTAATCATAAAAGTCTTCAATGTACTGTCTGTCTGTCTGTTTTAGCTTTCCAGGCCGTGGACCTGGTACCTGCAGTACCTGTACAGTCAGGGATACAACGGCCTGAAGCAGTTTGTTTCATCCATGTAGCCAGAGGAAACTTCTTGGACGGCATCTGACTTACCAGCCTGTCAGGAAAAACTTTTCATCAGTATTCACAATGACTTCTCACACATTGCATCACACATTGCAGTGGGTGCAGTAATTCTTAATATGGCTCATTTTTATGTTTTATTTGAAAATAAATTTTTGGATGTGCATCCCAGTACACTCTTTGGCAGTGGGCCCAGGTTGCTCAGAGCAACATTAACCAGCAGCTGACAGCAGGCGACGGGCAGGGTGACGGTCTGTCCGCACAGCAGAGGTAGACACTCAACACAGTGGAGAGGAAGAATGACCACGTGCATCTTACCCATTTTTCCAAACACTCTGTGTTTTTGTATATAAATATATGTTTATTGTTTAGTTTTTTTTATATTATTGGACCAGTGTCAGTAGTAGGTTCAAGTTCAGTGAATACTACTTTAAGAGGGAAGACTAAATGTTTATTGCAGAAAATTTTCAAAATACCGAAAAGGGATCATTTTGACACATTCATCGGTCTGGGTGATGTGAAATCTCTACTAAATTTCACAACTCCCATAAATAAGGTATGGTACAAGAAATATTGTCAAGATACTAAAGAATAACAAGTTGAAATGATTCTTTTTCTCTTCAGTACTTATTTGCAATAAAATTTGTCATTCTTTGCTTAATGTGAACACAACTATCTTGAATCAGTGATTACACAGTTTGTCTTTGTGTTGTATTCTTGTACAGCTTGTCGTCTGTAAAACCTGACCCTTGGACATGGATGAAAAAAAGTTTAAAGGTTTTTACATTTTATGAAAGTTAACACCAGTCTGTTTCTTAATAACAGCACAAAACATAACCATTTACCAGACATGTATGCTCATGCCCTGATGTCATCCTTAGTTGTTCCTCTTTGAATGGCATCAAGTTGTTTAAGAATGAGTCATATAGAAAGCAGCATGTTGGTTTAACCAAGGGACCCATCTGGATGGTTAATAGCTCCTTGGTTCCATTTGTTAATACTGGATGATTTCCACCATTGATGTCCAGTGAACAGTTTTCTCCATGACGTACTATCATGGCCCAGAACATGAAATACATTCTATCATGTTTATGTTTGTATATTGTCCAGATTTCTTCACCTCTGTGAAATTTGGCAGAAGTCAAAGACATGGCATGGTAGGCCTTATGCCACTTGAACATCAGTTTCACAAAGTGCGTTCAGGGACTGGCACAGGTAAAAACCTAAAACTGAACAGTGCATGGCACCGTTTTTTCATCAATGCTTTTTTAAAGAAAGAATTGTAAAGGCAATAAAAATGTAGTAAAATTGTGGGGAAAGGCCAAAAGCCAGAATTTACATGTTCAGATGCTTTGTTTTGCTCAAGCAACACGCTAAAACCCAAAGATATTCTGTTTAAAATCATGTGACATCAAATTTGAAAACATGAAGCCAGAACATGTTAAGGGCTTTTGTTTTAACCAGTTTTCTCTCGATCAAGAACAATATTTGTTTTTTTATTTTACCAAAAGCCTGTCACGTCGCCCTCTACACAGCAAAATGTTACATGTTGATGCATATTAAGTAAGCACTCCCAACTTTGGTCAGAAAATAGAAATATGGACAACGCAGCTGTGTTTTTACATGCATTGAAGAGTCCTGAAGAGCTGCAGAGGAGACGTGTTCTCTCTCAAACTTAAGCCATATTTCTTCTCGACAGCTTTTTGGACTGTTCACTCAGAGCAGTGATTTCCGAGCCTCTCTCCTTAACCCGAGCCGCTGAAGTTTTCTGATAGTATATTCCAGCTCTGGCTGATGGTAACCACAGATGAACGCCTGGACGCGTGCTCTGGCGCTGATGTGAATGCGCGGAGCCACCTTAAAGAAAGCAGCCATCTGATGTCAGCGTCAGAGACGCAGTCTCCGCCGCCGGTACAGCGCTGCGCTGCTCCGCCGCTTCAAATCTCCATCTGCGCTGCCGCTCTCCTCACTTTCTTCAGCACATCTCTCGCCTACATTCACGGGAGCAGCTTATTTCATCAGACTGCGCTGTGTTTGTCCTACCTGAGCCAGAATCGCCTTGGGGAGTGCAAGGTAAGATTGTTGTTCAAGGCTGCTTCTTTATAAGTGTTTACTGCTGGACATTGGGTTAACCTCACATCCAGGGCAAACAGGAACATGGTGTGTGACTATGGCACGCGTCTTAAATTGCATTCGGGTTACTCCTGTTGGCTACATGTTGACTGTCGTGCTGCAGTTAGGAGTCTGTGCATCGTGCTGCTTACAGTTTGGCAGCTGGATTTTGGCATCAGTGTGACGGATGAGGTTGGCGAGATGAGCTTCACTTCAGGTTAACTACAGCATGTGTGCTGGCCATTGGAGATGTCGGAGCAAAAGGTGCGCAGCTGGACGTTTTGGCAGCAATTGGAAACAGCCTCTCCTTGTGTTTCTGCTCCAGTTCATTCTGCTCGTTATTTTAAACATTGTGCAGCTCACAGACTGAACGGACAAGACTGCACAGACCATAGTTTCCCCCTTCACTCATTTCTGATCACAGAAAGTAAATTTAGCGACACTGATTAATTGTGCGCTCCAGTGTGCGCTGGTTTTGTAAAGCCCAAAGGCAGCGGACCCGTCATATTCTTCTGTGCAAGTTTCTCAGCAAGTCTCGCTTCCTGTGGAAAAAAACGAGCATTTCTTTGGCTTTTCTGTCTCATTAGTTTGTAGGGGTAGAGACTGACATGTAATGCCAGACTGAGGTTTTGAGGACCTGAACTCTGAATGTCGCCAGTAATTACAATTACACAGTGTGGGTCTTGGCCCCTCCTTTAAGGGCCCCAGGATGCAGTACACAGTGTGGGATAATTTAGGAAGATAATTGAAGGCAGGAATTTAATCCATTCTGGTTCTGTGGAAGTGACAGCGGTAGTAGCCTACGTTTAAATCTAAATGAATCTACGTTTGTCAGTGCTGTTGTGTTCTAATGTTGACTGCATATTCAGTTTGAAGACTGAAATACAACAACAAACTCCTTTCATAAAAATATCATCTTACCAGGCTGGTTTGGTGTATTTTTCTCCACCTTTGATCATAAAGTCTGGTAACTCTTGGTGTTCATGGCTCAGCCCAGGATTAAACTGAAGATCTCTGGAAGCTTTAAATACTTTATTTTGGTTTGTAAAAAGAGCTGAATAATGTTTCTATCTAAGGGGCTTAATGTGACATCCTGCCTCTAAAATGACTTTCATGCTGTCAGTCTGCGCCTTTCAGTATTACCAATCTGCATTCATTTAAAATAACTCAAGTCATTTTCATGGACAGAGATCTTCTTGTACCTACACTGAAAGAACATTTTTCTCAGAACAAAAGCCTAACAGGAAGGAGCACAGCAGGATGTTTTTTACAGGCCAATAGGATTGCATGTCTTTTTATTTCGAGGACTGCTACAGAACTTTGAATATCCATCCATCCATTATCTCTACTGCTTATTCCTGAACAGGGTCACGGGGGCGCTGGAGTCTATCCCAGCTGACATTAGGCGAGAGGCAGGGTCCACCCTGGACAGGTCTCCAGTCTATCACAGGGCTGACATGTAGACAAACAACCACACACACTCACACGTGCAATTTAAAGTCACCAATCAACCTAAGCTGCCTGTCTTTGGACTGTGGGAGGAAGCTGGAGTACAGAATCCACACACTCACAGGGTGAACATCCTTACAGAAAGGCACTGGGTTGGCAACTTTGAACATGTAAAAAATAAAGTAGAGTAATAATAATAATCAGCTGAAAAGGTGTTTAATAATGAGCATCATATGGTATGGTGACCAACTTCCATATTATGTGCTGCTTTTTGTAACCAGATTTGGCAGAGGGAAGCTGTGTAAGACTCCACAGTGAGTCATAATTGTGAAAGATGCTAAAGGGATTATGAGAATGTTCTGCTGCCACTGCCTCTCTTCACCTAAAGCCTCCTGGTCATGTTTTTTAAATGCATTTTCACAGCATCAACCCATGTTAACATCCTTTATTTATCTTTCAGAGGACAGTGTTTCTGCCACTTGTGTCAGCTAATGTAAACTCAGCGATTCCCAACGTCTTTTGTCTGATGAAGCCACCCCCTCATCAGATGATCTACAGTAAATTACCCCTTCAGTCACACCGACTGTCATGTTCCAAGTATGTTCAATGAAATTAATTTCAAACTGGATGTCATTTAACACCGTGAACGTAAAAGTGGATATTGTTCAGTATTTGTTCAAACAATTTAATGTTGTGTTTAGGTCCGTTTGGTCAAGTTTGCATTTGTGCTACTAGTTGGAGTAGCAGATACTGGATGTTTACTCCCAAATCATTTATTGATTTCCTTTAGCTAATTTCAGTATATTCATAGTTGTCTAATTTAGCCGTTTATCCTCAGCTAACAACCCCAGTTATTACTTTTATTTATTTCAACCATCTAACAGTTACACTTATTTGTAATTCAACTTAAAAAAAAAATCTTTTAGCTAATTTTCAACTATTTATTCATTACTTTTAGCTGTGTCTATTATTATCCAATCATCAGTCTAATGAAACCTAAACAAAATGTTTAGCTTTTCTGTCAGTTATATTTAGCTGTAGTTCAATCATGTATTCATTTTCTAATGTTTTCAACTATTAATCCTTACTTTTAGCAAAGCATTTAACTGTCCTATCCATGACTTGTAGCTAACTATTTGGTCTGTATCCATCACTTGTAACTATTATCCATAACTTTTAGCTAATGTTAACTATTTTGTAACTGTTAATGGATTATTCATTAATGTTAGCTGTCACATTAAACCATTTAAGCCAAATTACTTAACTATTAGAATATTTCTTTCGTTACTTTTTGCTGCCTCTTTCAGCCAGGACTTTTACCAAACTTTAGACTGGTCTGTTTCTTTGCTAACTAGATTTCGCACACTCTGATGAATCTTAAACGTGTTTTAGGATTGCATTATTTATACAGTGATGTAGGAAGCATGCCGTGTTAAAGATTGTCTCGGGCATGTTTTTTCTTTTCCCTTTTTTATTAATTCAGGAGAGTGATCTGAAAATGTCATCCTCTGTTAAAATCTGCCTGGGGTCTTCACTAACTCTAGTGAATCGTTACGAATTAGCAACCTACCAAGGGCTGCAGTGACATTACATATTCCTACTGAGATTTTTCTTTATTTACAATGAAAAGGTTACTGTCGGTCAGATTTTGTGATTTCAAGAGTAGTGATCATGAATAATTGTCCTGGTCTCATATTTTCTTGCACTATAGAGGAAAGCAGTAATGAGTTTACAAGTCCTAAACTCAGATCTCAGTAAGTCGAACTGGTCAAACTGCCACAGTGATTTAATTACAGAAAACCTTAGCTTTGACCTAATCGATGCCACCTTCACTCTCCTGTGGAACAGAGGAAGATATCACTGATGTGTTTTCCCATATTTTCTTATATTGTTAGACCTGAGCACAGCGAAAGAGCTTTTGTTGGCTTTCTTCTTTATATACAGCATGTACTGTCTAGTTAGTGATAATGTACTGTATCCCCACTGATGTCTGCACACAGTCACTACAAGCCATTTGTTGCTATTCGCTCTTGCACAGTCTGAAAAACAGCTTCCATTAAACCTAGCTGACAATCCACCCAGTTCATATTGTATGAACTGTGTTAGTGAAGTTTAGTCAAAGTTTCTCTGTGGTGTCATTTCATCTTGGCTTAGTTACTCAGTTTAACATCTAGTCATGCATGCAGAGAAGTTTCATCATTGGCTTAGTCATTTCATCTTGGCTTAGTTACTCGGTTTAACATCTAGTCATGCATGCAGAGAGTTTACTCACCTGATTGGATGAGTACATCTGTGCCTATGAACAATATGTGAGGTTTTGTTTGAGTTACACTAACTGAGCCTACTAACAAGTATTGTCTGTGTAGGAGAATATTTACGCTTAGTCATCTGTTTTATAGACTTTCACTGATGGAAAAACTATAAAAGACATTAAAAAAACAGTCACTGTTGTCACTGTACTGTAACGAATGTGGCCACTGTAGTTTATCTTGCTTCAATACTGTCCTGCTCCTACAAATATTCACTAGAGCACCAAGTCAACAGCTGAAAATAGTCCCCAGCAACTGCTAGAATCTGCCCAGCTGTTTTAGGAAGTTACTTTTTTCTTTAAAAAGTATATATTTGTGATCAATTTTAAGATTAAACCCAATAAAAGCGTTCCTTCCCTGTCTGGCGGTAAGTGTCAGATCAGGTTGTCAGAAGCGTACTCCGTATCATCTGTAAACACACCTAACAGGGATGTCACACGGTCCTGGGGTACCCATGCATCTCTGCCACAAGGTGTGTGAGATGAAGGCTTTCAGCAGGTGTTAAGTTGCTCTTTAAGGATGCCACAGACAGAGTGGAGTCAAAAAGTATTGAGAGACAGATGAACAAATTGTTCCTTTGGAATTCTTCTTTGAATAGCAACCAAGCTGGAGGAAATGCTTTAAATTAAAAGGTGAAAACAGTATATGGTGGTGTATGTACATAGTTTGTAGCCTATATAACCTTTTTTTAAATTATTGTTGGCCCCTGACCATCTATGTTTTGTGCCTCCACATCTGTCCAACAAAAGTGCCACAGGTCACAGCCAAGCCCTGCTGGAATAAAAATATTTCAGTGCCCTGTCAGGTGAGGAGAGCCAGATGGGTGGATAACTGTTGTACACCTTGGAACATCATCATGCTAAGCTCTGTGGCTATAGGACAGGTGTGCTCAGTCAAGCAGGCTGCAGCAGTCAAACATCATCTCTCCATCATTCTCGTCCTGCACTGAGAGATGGGAAAAGACTGACAGAGAGAAAGCTATTCTCTGACTCCACACATTTCTGTGCCCATGGTAGCTATCCTTGGTCATGGTGACTGCAAACTATTATTTAGAATGTAGTAACCGATGCTTTCCTATTAACGTTAAATGGGTTGGTGTCTGGGGGTTGTCTTCAGTTGACACATTTATGTTGGTTATTTACTGTCCGGCACTGCAGGCCTTTCTCTGCGAGTCGCTCTGAGGCCCAGCTCATTGTCGCTCCC